GTGTGTGTGTGTGTGTGTGTGTGTGTGTGTGTGTGTGTGTGTGTGTGTTGGCTGGTGCCGACAGATGTGAGCACTTTGTGGGGTAGCTTGTCTCCGAATGTCCTCGCAGGCATACACACACACACACACACACACACTGATCATGTTAACACACACAGCCTGGGGACCCTGTAACATTACTGCAAGGCGAAGTGTGAAAGCATCCTCCAAATGGCCCATCTGGAGCCCAGGCCCCCTCAGTGACGACGGGAGGAGATCACCAGCATGAAACTCGTGTGTCAACATATTTTAATTGAACATAATCGTCCCAGTTTGCTGAGGCTTATGTATGTTTTTCAGGCTATGAAACAGGTTATTGGATTTGAGGTTATGAAGCTATTTGTTCATGTTGGAACATGTTCCTGTGTTAGCGCTTTAGCTTGAGCTGTAATGAGACTGGTTCCACCAGGGGAAGCATCGGCACATGCAGGCGCATATCGGAACGCACACACATGCAGAAAAAAAGAATTATTGTGCACACAAAAAGGCACACCCACGCAGACCTTGTAATTGCAGTTTTGTCTTTATTTGAAGTTTATTTCGTATAAAAACTGGCTTTCAGGTGATGCCTGTGTTCCTTGACTATCTACTAGACTGCAATACAACCTTTGAGTTGATTAATTGATTAGATGGTTGACAGTAAACTAATTGACAACTATTTTGATACTCGTTTAATAGTTTTTTTTGACCCAAGAAAGTGCAGTGTCTAGTTTAAAGTTGTTTAAATGAGTGTTTTTTGAGAAAGCTGCATCTAGCAATACCGGAGGCCAAGCAATCAGCTAGAATGTCTTAGGTTTGGACTGTTGGTCAGAAAATACAATACAAGACTTTTCCCATCACTGCTCTTTTGTCTCTCCCTTACCTTAAGCTTTGGGTCATTTAAGTACAACTTTCTCAAATGGATACAAACATGATGATGAAGTAATAACATTGTGTCTAGAAAAAGAAGTTGCCCTAAACCCAGCAGTGACTCGTGACTGAGAGGATTCAAAACTATTAACATGAAGTGGAAAAAACACTTCTTGTCTGCTGATTCAAACATTGTTGATTCAGTGCCCATATATGCATGCATCAAAGTGACATATGCCATTAGTCGATAAGAGGATGTTCGCTATCGTCCCGTCTGTCAGTCCTCAGCCTTCATAGCGTATCTGAGTTGTTTACCGCGTGTGAGAACTTGTAAACCCGAGCTATCAGTAATCCTTCCACACGCTGATGCGACCGGTCAGGCAGCGAGTCCTCGACACCTGCACGATCTCCTCAGAGTTGACCATGCGCCGGACCGGTGAGTCACAGAATGCAAAAGGTCTCACGGCTGATGATCATTAACAGCGCAATAGACTTGAGAGTAAGTCACAAAAATGAGACTTAAATCTTGGACTTGACGGCTGTGAAACACGATTCAGAGACAAAAAATGATCTCTGGTTTTTAATAATAGAACATAAAACTTTCTATAAAAAGTGAACTTTTCAGACTCAAAAGCTTGAATTTATACATGTGCACGCAAAGGAGAAGTCACGACGTCATGTTACGGCTACCAAGGCAAACGTGATTATAATAACAAGCGACGGCTCGACAGCAGACTGGGGGCGGCATGGCGGGCAGGAAAGCCAGTCTTCAGACAGTCGGAGATGAAGGTATTAAAAGTCAACGGATGTCTCTCTGCTTTGCTCCGCAGTGAGCTATGAGTGAAAGATGATAGGGTAGAGAGACAAGATAGATTGGTAGGGGGGGGGGGGGGGGAGAGCATGACAAGCAGGGGGGTGATAAGCTATGGGTAAACAGTTCACGGCAGATTTCCTTTTACAGGTGATGAATGACAACAACTGCTCACCCCCTCACTCTCTTTCTCCCTCCGCCTCACTTTTTGATGGCGACGTCCTCTCCTCTGTTCGTTATAGCGCACCTCTCCGAGCAAACACTGTTAGAAAACAGAGACGGCAAGCGGTGAGGTAGGGGAGAGGAAGGGGGGGTTTCTTTTTGAAAGAGAGATGGTGTTGGAGGGCTAACGTATGGACAAGGAGGGAGGGAGGGAGGAAGAGATAAGTAAGGATGAGGAGAGAAGTTATCAGACCATGCGGTGATGAAATGAGATGGTGGTAAATGGAAGCACCTGTTGAATGCAGCATTATTGCAACACTCTACTTGAATTATAGACTCTAGAGAAGCAGGTTAGCATTAAGACACAACAACCAGGAAGTAGACCATCACTTTCCACATTCTGCTGCTTTTCTCTTGTTTTCTTTCATTTGTTTGAGTCGCTTTTCCCTCTCGTGTTTTTGTGTGTTGAATACAGATAATGGATGGGTAAAAAGCAATAGATAGGCTCCCTCCTTTCATTCTCTACCTTAACTTTCATTACTTTTTTTTTTGTGGCAGCCATTATATGTGATTATTAAGATCCAACAGGAAGTATCTCATCTATCCTTCCTGACTTGGTGGCCTGAATGTATAAATCCAGCAGCAGTCAGGATGGCAGCTTTGTATTTATCCACTTTAGTGCACATCACACCAGCAGCTGTCACTGACTTTCTGTCCATCCTGTGAAAGCCAACATTGGATCCTTCACTTCCACTGCAGATTTAAATGGCGATAGTCTCTCTATGTAGCCAGAACGCATCTAGAACTTCAGAGGCACAGCTTCTGACTTGGTAACAATAGATTTGATGGTTGATCAAGCTTGTGATATGCAAGCAGAGCATTTGTTGGTTATGTAAGCTTCAGTTTTCTCCAAGCAACGGCATTTCCAATGTTTTGCTGTGTTTGCATTTTGTTTATTTGTACATTCTGTATGTGCTCCGAGCTGTTCTATTTACGGGCTAATGGAGGCTCCGAACGACTCGATATTCTAATATTCTCTTCTGAGATTTAATTTAATAAACCTTATTTTCAAAAATACACAAATACAACAATGAAAAACGTAAAAGGGTGAACTAAAAACAGAACATAATTTCATGCTCTCATTTCTTTTGAATGTTATATATAGACAGTAATAGCTCAATCTCTCTCTCTTTTCTCAGGTCATATTTGAAGCAGAGGTTCCGGACAGCAAAGCCGGCTTCATCGCCATCGACGACATTCAGGTGCTCAGCTACCCGTGCGGTGAGTCATTAGCATGCCAGCAATTAGTCCTAGTTCGCTGAATAGACGCTGATGGCTTTGGCCACTAATTAGACTGTACCTGGGATGGTTTCTGTTGCACTCGAATGGGCAGATAAGTGGGAAGGTGACACTGGAGAGGAGGGAAGCGGGGAGAGGAGAAAGACGAGTGGTGGAGAAAAATGAGAGAAATAAAAAGGGAGAGAGAGAGAAAAGGAGTGAGTGAAGCAGGAAATGAGACAGTTTTAGGGCAATCATAGAGAGAGAAGATTCTGACCACTCAGCACTTTCTCTCTCGTTAACCCACATGTACACACAAACACACACACACACACACATACACACACACACACACACACACACACACAGGGAACAGTAGCTGTCTTGTCTCACACTGACAGGAAAGCGATGAGGGCTGCAATCCATTTTAAATTCTCGCTCCGTCTCAAGTCGTCTTCTCTCCTTCGCTTGAGTGTTTCCTTACTTCCAGAGGCCAGAAAAGAGACGCGACGGCAAACTGCGACTGTTAACAGAAGGGTCTGTTAATCTAGAGCCACAGGCAGGTTCCTGGAGGGTCCCCTGTGTTTGGAAAGGAAACAATTACAACTCCTTTTTGGTCATCCGTCTTGTAGCGCCACTGAAGTCTCTCAGGGCAGTTTTGTTTCTTAATAGATTCTATTGATTAAAAGTCACAAAGATAAACTGTCTCGCTCCGTCCTCTGGTACAGTTTGTGAGGTCCTGGTATCAGCGTTGTCCATGTACCTGTCAGAAGTCGGCAATATATTTTTCTGACAGAAGTTCCCGCACGTTAATTTTGTCAATGAAGTGACCTGGAATATGAGAAACGTGTAAAAAGAAGAGCCCCAGTCTTTTAAAGGCAGAGGAGCAGGACTCCTAATGGGAAGGAGCAATTAGTACTTAGTCTCCACAGTGGAAGCATTCATTCTCACAGCTGCATTTCTGGACACAGGTTTGTGTGTGTGTGTGTGTGTGTGCGTGTGCGTGTGGGTGCGCTTACATGAATGCGTGCGTGCAAGCTAGTGTGAGTGTGTTTTCATTCCCCATGCTGTCTAGGATTGCAATCACCTCCCCAGAATAAGAATATCATAGCTGAACTGCATCTTCAGGCTCTAAAAGAAGGTTTATTTCACATCTTAGCGTGGTCGTTAAGAATTGGGAGCGATACGAATTATATATAGCGGATGTGACATTGATGTTGCCTCCAAGCACTGTTTTTCATTTGACTCCAGTAAAACCTAATCGCAGTAATCACAAACTCATTCCTTAGGGTTGGAACAGATCCTGAAATGTGTACAGCGTGTTTGTGATAAGCTGACCTGTTTGTGTCTGTAACTCCCTCTGGCTCTGTCACCTCGTCTCCAGACAAATAACGTTAAACCAAAAACACGAACACAAACTGTATAACCTTGGTGCGGACTCCATCTAATTTGTTTGACCTAATTTTCTCTGTAGATAAATCCCCTCATTTCCTGCGTCTCGGGGACGTGGAGGTGAACGCCGGACAAAACGCCACATTTCAGTGCATCGCTACAGGACGAGACACATCGAAAAATAAACTCTGGCTACAGGTACAGCTATAAAACATGCATGTGCACACGCACACACGTGCAGCACACACACACAGAGCGGCCCCAGGCAGTAGCAGCTAACATGATTAAGAGTTTAATAGCTGCTGATTTCATTATGGCTCTATTGTAGCCATGACCTTCAAAGCTGCTGTCAGTGCGAGTACTGCGTATATGTGTGTGTGTGTTTGCACTTGGGCATGTGTGGTCCAGTGCTACCTTGTGACCTTGAGCAAGGCAGTTAACCCTTCACCAGCCTCTGCAGCACCTGATTTCTGTCCGTGTGTTTTGTCTGCGCTCCAGAGGAGGAACGGAGAAGACATTCCCGTGGCTCTGACGAAAAACATCAACCACAGACGCTTCGCCGCCTCCTTCCACCTCAAAGAAGTAACCAATCAGGACCAAGATCTGTACCGCTGCGTCACTCAATCAGAGCGTGGCTCCGGGGTGTCAAACTTTGCGGGTCTTATCGTCAGAGGTGAGGATTTCAAAAATATTTTCAGGGTTATTGGATTGTTTTGTTATTCCTTTAATACCTGTGGTTTCTTTTGTTTTCTCTAATATAATATTTGATACCTCAGCTTTAGCAGATATCTTTCAGCGGTAAGTACGGGGCCTCAGTATGATTGGATTCTGACTGCGCCCAGGACCGGCTACCACACAGTGGTTAATGATGCGCTATCGCGTATGTAACCCTTTTACCCCCACAAACTAGTAGTCACTCAATGATGCTTACTCTTAACCTTGGAGGTAAACACTAGGCCAGCGATTCTCAACCTTTGGTAACTTAAGGCCCACTTTTGATTGTTAATAATTTCCAAGGACCACCGTCCCAAAATAAATGAGAGAAAACCCCCACAACATGACCAAAGACTGTATGCGTCATGCCACTGTCAGCTGTAAGCTCCTGAGCTAGTAGGCAGACATGCTAACGTTTGCAGCTCACGTTAAAGCAGACAAACACATTGTTTAATCCATTTCTTACGGTTTTGCTCCTCTGTTGATCTCTTTGGAAAGACAAAAAAAAGAACAGAAATCTAAAGCCAGACAGAGCCTTTGTGTCCACAGTAGTTACAGATGCTAAGCTAACATTGGCAATCGCTGTAAGGCAGATTGGTTTAGCGTACGGTCAATTATAAAGTTGACTCATATATACAGACACACATAGTGTTATGGGTAACTTTTTATTGTGCTTATATTTTGAAATGTCAAATGTCTTTCCAATCAAATGTGCATTCACTGTGTCTGACTGATAAAATGTAAGTTACTACCACAATATAGACTAATGAGGAGAGTTTCTCTCTGAGTATATTTAGATGTGTGTATGCCAGCCTTGTGGTTGTGTGTGTATGTAGTGTGTAGAGCAGCTGCATTAGTGTCTATGTGCACATGTGTATAAAGGAAACTGTGTGTGCTCCAGCTGTCATGTGCAGCTGACATGTGGTTAATAAGGTGTCACCAATGTGTGTTTTAGACGGGATGCTTTATTCATTCACATCCAATAGCTTACATATTCAATTCATCTCCCACAGAGAGAGAAGACAGGGGAGGAGGGCCGAGAGAGGGTGAAGGCGAACGAGATTCACAAAGAATGATAAGGGGGTGACAGAAGGGGGGGGGGCAAAGAGAGAAGTGGTGATGGTGAGGAAAAGTTAAATGTAAATAGTCTACTCATTATCTCAAGAATATCCATATCAGAATCAGGAATACGTCTGAATATGTAAACAGCCGAGCCGAGTTATGTTTATTATTCCGCAGACTAGAAAGAAATGAGAAATCAAAGCAGAAACGAGCACCATGAATATGAATTTTTTGCTGGTGTGGCTCAGATAATGGAGCTCTTACACTGTCCAGATTAGGGATTCGACTCTCCATGTCGAATTGAGCAAGGCACCAACACCGCCGAGGTTGTGGGTTACATCCCCCCCACTGGGACGGTGTTCTCTTTGGACGAGAAAATATGGCGGGTTTTTTTGGAGACACACTTTTATTTCAGGACCTCGCTGATTTAGTAAGAATACATAAGTGGCTATTTTTTATTTATCGTGAACGTCTTTTTGAAAGAAGGCGAAGAGGAGAGAGATGAGGGATCCACACAGCGGGAGACTTGTGTTTTAACATGAATAGGACCGATCTACATATATGAAAATAGATTCAGGTTCAATAAGACGCAGTGAGTGACACATGTTTCATAGCCAGGCATCGGCCGCTTTCTCAATCTGCCAAAAGATGCTTTTGGAGCTCTGAGGGATATTGCAGATTATGAATATTGATCCAGACTCTTGGTTGTTAGAAAGATATCACAATTAAAGAAGGAGGACTGCGCGTATGAATGTGGAAGGAGAGGAAGCCTCATGTTTATTTATTAGAAATATCAGATCGGAGATGAGAGCCAGAGAAAAATCAAAGGAACAGGGAATATGTTTATTTCCCTCCTTGAAAAGTACGCGTGTTGGAAATTTGCGTTTCCTGCAGGACATTGACGACCATGAATATGGACAGAGTTAAGCTGCATTATTAATGTTTTAGCTCTGAATATTCTGCTTAAATATTTATTTATTGTGAAATTGAAAAGAGGAATAAAGATGAGGGATGATTACTAGAGGAATGGTGTATCTGTTACAAATCTGATCAACAGAAAATGGAAGAAAGAAACATAAGAAAGTGCCCAAATATGACTTGTATGTATTAAAAATGTTTGACAGTAACCCAGGTTTTATTTTCAAAGGCTGAAAGTGGTCTGCTGATGTGAGAATGCCTCGCTGCAGGAATGCACAGGCCTAGTCTATTGATATTTATAATATGTAGATGACAGAGATGTGCCATTATGGTCTCCCTCTGTGTGTGCTGGAGCTGTCAAGATCAGAGAAAAGAAGCACATTTTGTTGACGCAGAGGTGCATCATGGGAGCACGAGAGGTGTGACATGGAGTTTCCCAGATTATTCTTATAATCGTGTGTTTTTCGTTCTTCCTTGAGCAGAAATATGACAGTTTCTTTATTATTAAACTGCTGATAATTTCTCCAACGATAAAAGATATTCAGTTCATAACTAAGTATAAAATAGTTTTTCTGCTAAATTCCTTTTTTATTCTAACAAAATAAAGGAAACTTCTCAATTATGAAATATCGCCTAATTGATGAAGATTATGACTTAGAGAAGACATGCCATGCCATATCTTGTTGTTCAACAGTTTCACAGATGTAAATATATAATTTGTACATGCATAAATCCTAAAAGCATGTTGGACATCATTTCTAATTTTCACATGCTTTTAAGATTTCATTATCTTCATGAAATGGAGTTTAGATTAACCATATTGTGAGGTTTCCCTCAGGAGTACTCGCTCCTCCTCTTCATCATGTGATGCATCCACACATTTCACAAAAGCAGTAACTGGTCCCCAAACCTTTCAAACATCTCCTGTTTGATGAAAAAAGTTTTACTGTCGATGTACAGTTCATGAACAGTTAATCGTGTGTGTGTGACAGGCAAAGAAGTATGAGAGAGTCTGACTGTGTGTGTGTGTCACTAGTAGTTTGGTCAGAGCCGAACTCTAATAAAGCCTTGCCCTCTGGTTCCTACGGTGACAGAGCGCATCATCACGCCAGCTCGTATCACACTCACACACTCACACACACGCACGCGCACGCACGCACGCAGTCATACACACACACACACACCATGCCAGCTTGCATTACACGCAACCCGTGGCCTAAAAAGCTCCTGCAATATTATTGTCACACACATGCACACAAACATGTATCAGACTTAAGAGGATGCACAACTGTCTTAAATCTGTAATGGTCCACTTCTAAAATGCCCGTTTCTCCTTTTTAACCTATCACACACACCCACATGCTCACTCTAAGTAATAGTGACAGGTGAAGCTTCAGGCGCTATGGAACTATAGAAAACCTACGACCACTGTTGGCTGTCGATACGGCTGAAACACACACATTTGCACACTCGTATGCACACTCCTCTCGTGTTCTGGAGGTCAGATGTCCTCCAGTGAGCTCCACAGTGATGTCAGCAGCAGTTTGTGTATAGTAAACTTTATTGACAAGGTTGCTGACGATGGACAAAGAAGAACATGCCTAGTGGGCGCCAGTCACCAACAAAATATCAGTCTATCCTCTTCCTTTCTCTCTCTCTCTCTCTCTCTCTCTCTCTCTCTCTCTCTTGTTGTTGTTTGTTCACGGCATCATAAATCTTAAATCAGAGAATCTACCAAACCCTCTGCAGTTATATAAAGAGAGTGAGTGACAGTGAAAACAAATGAATCACGCAGACGGGTGAGGTCAGAAAACGACACAGACATTTGAAGTTTTCCCAATGTTGATTTGTTTTGTTATTAACATTTACATTTGACCCATAAAAATGAGGAATGATGAGAGGGTTCACACTTGTGATTAATAATACAAAAGATGCAATCCCTTCGCAAAACAACACCATTGATGATTTGTTAGATTTTTTTTAGGTCAACTGTACAAATGACAAGTGACGGAACAGAAAAAAAAAGAAGAAAAATCAAAAGCATGAACCCGTTCCAGCTTTTGTTTTCTCTGGAGTCACATAATGACCCACTTACATTCCTTACTGTTTCTTTTTATGTTTATTATTTATCTTTTAGATACTCAATAGCTTTTGGAGTAACACACAAACATGTATTCAAGTTAACACACAGATAGACCTACTGTTTTGGATGCTCGAATACATTTATCTCTGAGTTTTTGCTTTATTTCTTTCTTTGTTAATCATCAAGTTGTTGACTTTGTTTATTTGACGGCGTTGCAAGATGACATGTTGTTGACGTTGTCGGTTTTCTAAAGTCGCTTGAACATTCATTATCTGGATTCAACTCTGTCTGCATACGCTCGTGTGTGTGTGTGTGTGTGTGTGTGTGTGTGTGTGTGTGTGTGTGTCTTCACTTGCATGTGCTGTCAAACTGCAGTGTTTCATCTGTTGCTAAAAAGACACTTCCCAGCCTGCACCTCTCTGACAGCCATATTCCACACACACACAAATGCAAACACAAACACACACACAAAGAGAAAAAGAGGTGACAGCAATGCAAAATATAGATATTAAAGGAACAACATGCACAGTAACACACATGTACACACATATAATTTTAGATAAAACTTACTTTGATATGATATGATTGAAGCTGGATTGCAAAAATTATCACATTTTTCCCTATCTTCATACTGATAGCCTGGTGGTGTGTTTGAGAATGTGACTGGGAGAGATAAAATCCATATGATTTACTGTATGTGAGATAGAGTGTGTGTGTGTGTGTGTGTGTGTGTGTGTGTGTGTGTGTGGAGAGGTGGTGATTAATTCATGTGTTGATCTGTGTGTGTATGTGTCAAGTAGATAAATCTTTGGTGCGGTGTGTTTTATGGCCGTGTGTGTGTGTTGTGCTTTGGGCGTGTCAATCACAGATGCGTGACAGTGAGCTCTGATCTGACTGACTGGCCCTGAACCATCAAACATCCGTCACATTAACATGGAAGTACAAACACGCAGTTTTTATTGACTGTGAGCATCACGGGACGCAGTACACGGTGGAATCACAAGACGTACGTCAGATGAAATCTACAGTATATGAATATATAATACAATGATAATTTAATTTTATGATTATAAAAAAACATCATTGATCATTCAGTCGATTTATAGTTTGGGTTACACATATACAAAGTTTTAACCTCACCCTTTATGAAATATGATCATATCCAAGTAGATTTTCAATGTCATAACTGAATAATTAGCTGATTTTGAAAATGTGGATGTGACGCAAGACTTCAGAATGAGACTACTCCTTGAGTGAGACTTGGTTAGACACAATAACAACACACCAGATCAAGCGAAAGGTTATTGCTCTGTAGGGTCCTCTCCATAATGTCTCCAGATGGTTATGATAACAATCTGAGCCTGTCAGTGGAAAAAAAACAAGCACCTTTAGTGGGCGTGAATTGGCTTGGCGGCACGCAATTGCCCAGAAAAGTTGCGTTGCAGCCTGTTTAGCATTAGTCCTATAAATCACAACCGCAGTCTGACGAGGTTGTTGGAGAGCCAATTTTTATCTGTTCATATCAGATCATTCTAATGCATTTCTCTGCATGACTTGCAGCAAAAGATGTTAACTTTGCATGTTATCATTCACTGCTTGTGCACTGATGGACTTCATGAAACAGGCAGCAGAAATCACTCTTTAATAACAACTAAAGAAGAAACTGATAAGATAGGGTATTGTAGGATTCCCTTCAATGGCAAAATAAGTTTTAAAATGTATCACTCATGCAGCCTGTGAGAGAAGAACACTCTTTTCCCTTCATATCATTTCTTTTTAAACTGATTAAAGTTCTTTGACCCCCCCTCCTGCACCAGATGCAAAATATATCACGCTAGCATTGTGGCTTTTTCTGTAAGTATCCAGTCATGTCTGAAATAAGCTGTAGGGAACATTTACATAGCAGACACCCATGTCTGAAAGACACAGAAGACATTACTTTTAACAGATAGACAAAGCCGGAAAATGTATATATTCCATGTGTGAACGGGTCCTCAAAGTATCGGCCACTACGGTAGACGATATCTGAAGCTGCTTCCCAATAGAAGCCTCCAGCTTCTTGTTTTGAAGGTGGAAGGCTTTTGATGTGAAGCAGCTCCAAAGGGTGTGTTTGCATTAACATTAACTTCATTATAACTCTGACAACGCTGCAAAGGAGAGTCAACACGTGGAAGCAACATGGCTACTTGTGTTGTAGATGAAAGTAACTAATTTAATCCCACAAATATCCCGTGTCAGCTGTTTGCGAGGCTTTGTGTCACAGTGACCACAGGATGTTGCTCTTCGTGTCCCGGCCCTCTTCTGTTCTGCTGTGACCTTGTTTAAGTGTGTTTCATTTGTCCCGCGAGGCTCTTTGGAACCCTTTCTTTTATGATCTTGTTTTCTCTCCACAGAGCCGCCGCACCCCATCGCCCCACCCCAGCTGCTAGGTGTCGGCCCTACATATCTGCTGATTCAGCTGAATGCTAACTCCATATTTGGGGATGGACCTATTATACTGAAAGAGGTATGTTCAATATGAGACCTTGTTTGGTTTGTTTTTTTAAGCAAAATAAAGAGCGTAAAAATCACCATTTATCCTTTCACAGATAATCCGGAAAGTAGAATGACTTCTGAGCGACATACTGTATGTCTATGGAATAGTTCAGCATTTTGGAAATGATGCTTATTCTCGTTCTTGTTGAGAGTTAGAGGAGAACTTCGATGCCACTCTTGTGTCTGTATGCTAAATATTACGCTACAACTAGCAGGTGGGTGGTTAGCTTAGCATAAACACTCAAAGTAGAGGGAAACAGCTTGCCTGGCTCCCTCCAAAGTTAATGTACCTACAGAGTAAACAAATTACACATAACCAGGCGGCAACCTCCGGTTCTGTTGAGTGAAGCTCATTCTCTCTACTGACCGGCAGGGGGCGACTCCTCCGCTTGCAAAAAGAAGTCCAATTGTGTGGAAGTCTATGAGAAAATTACCCAACTTCTCACTTGATTTAATACCTCAGTAAACATGAGTTTATGGTCTCAATCTCTAGTTTCAAGTCTTCTTCAATACAGGATGATGTTCATTTCGTAAATTGTGGTCCCTTTCAGAGTAAAACAGACCATAAAGCGGCGTATGATTTAGGGCGGGCTTACTGTGATTGACAGGTCGCTGCCGCTACCAGAGCCGTATAGGACGTCACTACGTGACCCCCTCCGCATTACAAATATGGTAACTTCCATTCATTGGTTACGAAAAAAATCGCCGAACTTGAGGCTTTAAAACAGCTGTCCATAAACTAACGGGGGACGTCACGATGACGACGTCCACTTGTTCTATACAGACTATGGATATAACATGTTAATCACTCAAATTTAAAGGTACTGGTAGGTGCTGGATTATTAAAATATTAAACAGAGCCAAGCTAGCCCATACTCCCTGTTTCCAGTCTTTATGCTAAGCTAAGCTAACTGTCTCCAGGTGGTGGTTGTATTTTTAGTGTTCAGACATGAGAGCGAATTGATCCTCTGTTCTTGCACCAAGAAGGAAATTTACCAAACTCTCCAACTATTTCTTCAAACGGTGGTTTAAGTGTTAGTTTTGGACTAATGAGTTAATATTTTAGTGTAAATATTCATGATCATGTGTGTGTATTTATCACGTTTAGGTTGAGTACCGTATGACAACAGGCAGCTGGACGGAGACTCACGCCGTGACCTCTCCCAACTATAAGTTGTGGCATCTTGACCCGGACACAGAGTACGAGATCAGAGTGCTGCTAACCCGACCGGGGGAGGGAGGGACGGGCAAAGCTGGACCACCGCTCATCACCCGGACCAAATGTGCAGGTAGGACATAGACGCATACATGCGCAGCTCGACTTTACCCGGGTCGGCTTGTGCACGCGCTTTTTTCTTTCTGTCTGATTATCTATTGATCCGTCTGTCTACTTGTGGTCTTTTTTCCGTCTTGCTATCTATATTTTAGTTGGTAGAGTGATATTTACACTATGAGGGGCAGAGAGAAGAAAGGAGGCGAGAGTTAGTCAGTCCGTGGTTGCTCAGTGATCTGAGAGACAGAGTGATTGCAATACTGGAGGCTCCCCCCCCCCCCCTTTCTCCCGCTTTTTTCCTTTATTCTCCCACTTCATTCCTGATTTCTCGCTGCCTCTCCTCCTTTTCTCCCATAGCTTCCATTCTTCCTTCCATATATCTCTTTTTCTACTTCGTTCCTCGTCACTGCCTGCCCTCGTTCTGATTGCCTCTCTCTCTCCCAATCTCTTTCTCTCTCTCTCTCTGTGGATCAATAGACGGCGGGCAGAAACACTGTCTGACATTTGTAGAAATAAACGACTGAAATATAAACACAGCTAGCCTGAGGGAGAGACGGAGAGATCGAGGGAGGGGTTGATGTGCGAGAGAAAGAGGCAGAAAGCGAAGCAGTGAGCTTGAATGAGAAACAGAATCAAGGAGTGATGGAGAGACAATGAAAAACAATAAGGCTGGAAAAGAAAGAGAGGAGAGAATAGAAGCGGAGGGGGGGAGGGAGAGAGAGAGAGAATGATGAAACTGGAGAATGAAAATGAAAGAGAGATGAAAACTCATAACCACGGGGCCTGACGGATGTCTGCCAACCTGTGTGTGTGTGTGTGTGTGTGTGTGTGTGTGTGTGTGTGTGTGTGTGTGTGTGTGTGTGTGTGTGTGTGTGTGTGTGTGTGTGTGTGTGTGAGAAAGATCCCGTATGTGTGTTTATTGACAGAGAGGAAGTCATAGACTTGTTCAGGCGACTCATGTATTGAACAGTTTCCTGTTTGACAAGAAAAGGAAATTAATCTTCCTCTCCTCACTCACGCAGGGACACGTTTGAGTTAAATGCGATAGCTCATTGTGAGCCACATAATGTGTTGATATCAGACCAAAGCAGGGAAATGTGATTATGAATTTAGTGGATTACAACAAACAATCCTCTGCATCTGAATCATTTTTCTACTGACTTGAAAGTAAAGAGAACAAATCTTCACTCTAGCGCTTCAGCACATGTCCTGATGAAGAAGTTATCTCGTTTTATGTTCAGCTTCAAAAAAAGATCTTCATGTCTGCTAATAGGGCACGGCTGTTCCACATCATTTATATAAAAACAGGTTCATTTCTGAAAGCAATGCAGAAAAATAAAGACCTCCCTACATGTACAATCTCACTCTGCTTTTTGGGCCAGTGTACTTCACGTTGTTGGACGTTGCAGAACCAATTGAGGCCACTTCACCAGAATTACCTCACAGCGCAGCGCTGGACCGAGTGAAGTAACTTAACATAACAGCCCCTGAATCCACAATTATAATGTTGTTACACTTTGAAACAAAATACAACACAATAAGTGAGATTTACAGTTGCTGGAATGCAGATTTTATTATATTTATATATTTATATATAGCTATATTATATAGCTGTGCCCCTGTTTTCCAGTCTTCTTGATTGGCTCAGCTAACTGGCTGTAGCTTTGAGGATATAACCATCGGCAACAAAGCGAGTGTGCATGTCTCCAAAAATGTCGAACTATTCCTTCAAGAAACAATGTTCAACCTAACTTTTAGTAAGGTAAGTCTCATTTGCATAATTGAGAGTACATATAATCCCAATGCTAAATTCAATACTATACAAATTGGACACAAATCCTTATACTACTTTCTGACTTTTTTAATTATTGTATAGAAAAATTCCTTCCTGTCTTTCTCTTTTTGTTTCCAGTGTTATTAAGGTCATTGAAACTCTCACACACCCACACCTGGAGATAGACTTGTGTGTGTTTGTGTTTATTGAGACACACACACGGGGTAGCAATGCTATTTAAATGGTAATGATTCCTTTGCTTTTTCTGTTTGGTTAGGTTTGTCTCATCCCACCACCTGTAGTTTACTGAATATTTAGTTCAATGCGAAACAATGAAGACATGCACGCACACACTCGCACAGGGAAATGTGTGCACAAACACCAGGCGTAAACCCAAGCATGCCACCACACAAAACACTGTTTAATTAAAAAACAATAAAGTTAATAAGATACAGAGCAGAAGTCAAACACACGGCAGAGCAAACAATATGATAAGAGGAAGGATTTCATCTCCTAGTCTCCTTCCTTCCTTTCCTCTTTTCATCTCTTCTTCTTCACTTTTTTTCTCTTCCCTTTCTACTTCATTCCCATGCTCCCTCAGTCTTTCCTTCACTCCCACTCCTCTCGAATTTTCTTCCATGGTGATTCATTGCTCTTGTCAGAAGGGTGAAAAATAATCAACTTGAAGTGAGGAGTTAGTGATTTTGTGTGTGTGTGTGTGTGTGTGTGTGTGTGTGTGTGTGTGTGTGTGT